CCCCGGTGCCAAGACAGCTGATATCTTTACTAAGGCGCTTGCGCCTAGGGATCATCAGCGGCACTGTTTGCAGCCTGGTCTAGTTCCTGTAGACTCTCACTTGCTAGGACCTTGATTGTGTACTCCTCTTATATATATCTTTCAGACTGGCCTTGTGGCTTCTCTTTCAGTGGCCTGAGTAGTAGTGCCGCTCTGGTTTGCTCCTGTCTTGTTTGTACTCTTGCTGACTAGTCTTCAGACCCTTGTCTCAGATGTTGGACTAGTAGTGCCACCCTGAGTTGTGTGCTTCTTGCTCAGCACTACCCCTTATCTAGCCTAGGGAGTGTGTCAACTTATATTGTACATACATTTGCATGTAGAAGTTATAGGCTAGAATAGGTGTGTGTTGTACAACCCAAACCCTATATCTCCCTTGTTCTCCCTTCTTGCTGATTCATTATAGCATTCTAACAAATGCCCCGCACTCGTAGGCCATGACCAAATGCCCTGCCATTCTCGCCAAGCCAACACAGCCCACGCTGCGATGTCGCGAAAGAAAGAACGAGATTGGGAGTGGCAACAGACTCGATTAGTCAGCGGCGCCGCCCAACACCTCGCACGCGAAACACGTATCGCGTTTGTCCACCACGCGCAACGACGTTCTGTGCAGGGCAAGATCTCGCCCAACCCATGTTTATCCCCGTCCACTCGCCTGCTCGACCGCTTGCCTGCTCTCCCGCTCTCCCGCTTGTGACGCAGACGCGGGAGAGCAGGGTGACCTAAGAGGTGGTGCCACAAAAGGGACGGGTGAGTGAGGGACCGACACGAGCAAGCTGCAGCGACCTGGGAGGACGCAACCACCGGGGGGGGGAGCGGTGTCGAGGGTAAACAGACCGGACACCGGGTCGCGGGGGAACGTCGCAAGAGGGGTACTTGAGACAGCCTCGGTACAGACAGCGAACCGCTCGTGCCCAGGGAACGTAGTGGTGATGCTGAGGTCCTGAAGACAGCCGACACCAACTAGGTTCCTGGAGAACGAGGGAACGTGGAGGCCTGTAAGGGAGCCCGAGGGAACGGCTGGACAGGGAAGGGACGTGGAGCTGCGAGCGACGACAGGACCAGCAGAGGGGTCGGCGAGAGCGACAACAGCAGGCGCGGCAAGCGGCGTGAATGTGGAGCGGTCGCGGAAGAAGCAGGCAGAAGCACCGGAGTCGAGAGTGAAGGATAGCGAGGCAGTAGCAGAGGCCGGGAACGGGGCCGGTGCCGGAACGAGGCTAGTCAAACTAGGCAGTCCTACGCCTGACGCAGCAGGGGAGGCTAAGCTACACAAAGGTGCTACACCTAAACTAGAGTACACAGGATAATAAGATCCAGCAACACTAGAAGCGTCAGCATACAAGGCATGCAAAGCAGCACCTATCCGATCCATATCTAACTCAAAGATCGGCACGCCCTGGCAAAGCAGGCTGTGCCAGTCGGGGAGGTCCGGGGCCGGGCCAAAGCGACGACGAAAGAGATCGTCGAGGCGGCGGAAACAGCGGGCGGTCGGGTGCGGGCAGCGGCACAGAGTGCCGCAGAGAGGCCCAGTCTGAAGCTGGTACTGGCAGGTCACAGCAGTGGAGCTGCCGGTAGACGCCAAGCTGCGCAGGCCGCCACCACGGCCACCACCGACGGAGGTGCCGGGCCAACCCGGCGGAAGACGAGCCCACGGCGGGGGCTGGGACAGCTGCTGTGACGACTGCGACTGCTGCTGCGGCTGCTCCTGCTGCTGGGGCGACGGCTGCTGCTCCTGACTAGCTGCGGCAGTCCCCTCAGTAGAGCCACTGTCCCCGGCACCACCACCACTACCACCAGCTCCACCACCACGCCCTCCCTGGCGGCCACGACCGGCGCGGCGTGAGCGCTGCTGTGGGTGGACCGCAGCTGCAGTCTCGGTCAGAGGGGTCGCAGTGGCGACCGCAGCCAAAACGTCAGTAAACGTGCACTGGGAGGGGGCACAGCCGTGAAAGATAGAGACTGCCAGCGCATCGCTCGACTGAGCGATAGTGCGCTGGCGAGTCTCGATCTCGGTCAGGGCGGTGACAAAGGCTGGCAGGGTGAGGTCACCCGGGTGCTGGCTAAGGATATGGTCGCGTGCACTAGCAAGGCGGTCAGGCAGGCACATAGCGATAAAGTAGAGGGTCATGCAGAAGGGGGGGGGGGGAGCGCAATGAGCTGGGCAGCAGTGCTAGCAGTGCGGTAGCGAGACTCTAGGGCTCGCAGGTGAGTGGCAAGGTCAGCAACAGTAGGGAAGGAAGCAAGGTCTAGAAAAAGCATAGGGAAGAGCAGGTGGCCTGCAGTAGCGGAGGCAGGCATGGAATAGCGAGCAACAACAGCATCTAAGTAAGCCCTGGCTGTATCAACTGTCGCGAAACACGAACGCTCAGACACAGGGAGGGCGTGACGGGCCAGGCGGGCGCGACAGGGCCAGGCGGGCGCGACCGGGCCAGGCGGGTGCTAGGAGGGGCCGGGCAGCGCTAGGACGGGCCGGGCGGGCGCTAGAAGGGGCCGAGGAGGCGCTAGGAGAGGCCGGGCGGGCGCGAGGAGGGGCCGGGCGGGCGCTAGGAGGGGCCGGGCGGGCGCTAGGAGGGGCCGAGCGGGCGCTAGAAGGGGCCGGGCAGGCTCTAGGTGGGGCCGAGCGGGCGCTAGGAGGGGCCGGGCGGGCGCTAGGAGGGGCCGAGCGGGTGCTAGGAGGGGCCGGGCGAGCGCTAGGCGGGGTCGAGCGGGCGCTAGGAGGGGCCGGGCGGGCGCGAGGGGCCAGGGTGGCGCGGAGGGGCCAGGCAGGTGCGACGGGGCCAGGCGGGTGCTAAGGGCCGGGCGGGCGCTAGGGGCCAGGGTGGTGCGGAGGGGCCAGGCGGGCGCGACGGGGCTAGGCGGGTGCGACGGGGCCAGGCGGGCGCTACGGGCCGGGCGGGCGCTAGGGGCTTGGTTGGCGCGAAGGGGCCAGGCGGGCGCGACGGGGCCAGGCGGGCGCGTAAGGGACGGGCGGGCGCTAGGGGCCATGTGGGCGCGACGGGGCCAGGGGGGGGCGCTACGGGCCAGACGGGCGCGAGGTCTAGGTGGGGGGGGGGGGGGGGGTAGGCTAGGGCGCGGGCGGAAGCGGGCGGGTGGACCTAACCTACGCGTAATACCATGTTAGAATGCAAGAAATAATGACTAGTGTGAGAAACCTAGAACATATACCTGTTGGGGTTGTACTCACTACAAGCACACACCTAGGCTAGCCTATAACTTCTACATACAACATATGTATAAGTTGACACTAGCTACCTTGTAGCAACCTAATTCTGCTATTCTAATATGGTATCAGAGCAGGTTCAACCTGCTGGACCTTCTTCTCTCCGCTCCGCCGCGCACTCCTCTCTCTCTCTCTCTCTCTCTCTCTCTCTCTCTCTCTCTCTCTCTCTCTCTCTCTCTCTCTCTCTCTCTCTCTCTCTCTCTCTCTCTCTCTCTCTCTCTCTCTCTCTCTCTCTCGCGCTGCCATGGCGACCGCGTCGTGTTGCTGTGGCGGCATCCTCGTGCCGCCGGCCGCGTCGTGCTGCCGCGGCGATCTCGACGCGCTGCCGTGGCAGCCTCGTCGCGCTGTCGTAGCGTCGAGGTCAAGTTGCGGCGGCGTCATCGCGGCGGCGTCGACGCGCCAGCACACGAGCGGCAGCGGGCCGCGCACCGTGTTAGCCGCATCTAGTCCGACCGCACACCAGTAAGCACCGCGCCAGCCATGGCGCTGCGTTAAAGATCCGCCCCCCATCCCTTCCCCCTTCCCCTCCTCTGCCTTTCCCTTCCTCCCCGCCGCAGCTACTGGCGACCTCGTGTCATCCTCCCCCTCGTCGTCGCAGGTTGAGCCACGCCGCCGGGTGCCTCGGGTGCCGCAGCCGCCGTCGCCGGGTGCCTCGACGCCGCCGCCACCGCAGTCGCCGACGCCGCCGCCACCGCTGCGACCCGCCGCCGACGTCGCCACCTCGCTTGCCGAGGGGTCGACCGGCTGGTCGACGCCATTGTTGCTGCAGGGTATGGGGGTGCTGCGGGTGGAATGGGCTTACCACTACCAAGCCTAGGGGGTGTGTCAAAGTATATATTTACATATATCTTTGTGTAGGCTTGGTAGTTGTATTGCTTTCTGAATCCTAATGTAGAGGGGACAACCCCTCCTTCTTGTATCTCCTTCTCTTCTAGTCCATCCCCTTTTTCTCTCGCCAACTTCTCCCTCTCGTAACTCTCGCCCCCTAGCTAAGCCTCTCGCCATTTTCATGGCGTCCCACATAGCTACCTTCTAGCACTTGCGAACGCGCGTTGTAGGCGGGTTGGGTTCGGTGTGTCGCCAGCCCTCAACCCCTGCGATTTGCCAGTGTTCGCTGGTGTCTTTGACTGGTTGCTGTCGAGAGACCCGCCGGGGTTGCCCTTGAGAAGATCCTCGGGGAAGGGCCACTGGTGCAGAGCCTGGAGGGTTGTGGGCGCACTAACCTGCTACGTAACACACCCTTTTAACTCAGTGGTTAGTGACTGAGTTCTGACAGTTGCGAGAGCCCCTCCTTTCGCATGGGGCATGCCAGGTTTCTTGCGAGGTTGTGACCCTCGCTATTTTCGCGAAACCCCTTCAAGGTTCAAAATCCTTTGAACATTGAAGTTATTGTATACTCTCGCTTGAACAATTTCATCTACACGACAAAGAATGTACTCCTTGTGCCCACATAGAAATTAATGTCAATTTTTTATTGAAAGTACTATGACCATGATCAGTGGGCACAAAATATCAGTAAATGACATATGCTCTAATCCAATTGTGGAAGGCAAGGGAATATTATGTGAAAATGAACAAATAACCCATTCGGATGTTCGGTACAGCTGCAAAATTGTCCCAAGCCCTCTCTATCGGCGTCTTTTCAGTACGGGCTCTCAACTAGAGAACTGCATGATCCATGCACCAGCAGGATGTGACATCTCAAAATTCGAAGTCCTTTCAGCTCAGTCAGTTGCTTCTTGAATTTGTCTTGTGTCTGGTAACTGACGACAGACAGCAGTTTAGTTCTTCCGACCTGCTCGTTCCTGTCACCTCCAAGTCACGCTGACGCCAGTCATCAGCCATTTCCAATGCTCGGTGCGTGTCGGTGCGGTCTCACTTCTCCGGCAAGGAGTCGCGCATGGGGTTGCTGCAGTCACATTCGCCGGAGCGGTGGTCTTCCAGAACTAATGATGTCGCCTTCACTGCGTTGTGGAGGATCTGGAACACTCGCTGCATACCAAAGGCTAATACACTCACTGTTTGGAAGGATCAGTGGTTGGTCGTAGGTTGTAAAGATGGGCCTTCGTATGAGCTCTACGCGAAGAGTCTCCGTCGACTCTCACAGGCCTGCGAGCTATTCGAGACATTGTGCGGCTTCCGAGAGTGCTGCTGAAGATTCCCAGAGGAACGCTCCTTGTGAGCCTACGAGCAACGACCGAGACAAGAAGAAATTCGTTCCGTTAGACTCCCCGAAGTTTTATCGCTCGACCGTAGATACCGAGTTTCGCGTGTGGGAGTTCCCTGGGCTACTGTCGGAAGAGGAGTGCAGAATTCTGATCGAGTCAGGAGGCGGCCGATGGCAGCGAAGCCGAGTTCAGGTCCGTCCTCGTAGACGAGTCTAAGAATCTAAGAGTTCTTTCCTTCAGATTTCTACCTTCATTGGTTTCTTCGTTTGAGCTGACTCTGTTGTCTCTTATTTTCACAGAAAGCAAACAAAGGGGATAGTGGACTGAGCGACTACCGGACAAGCAGGTATGCGCTCCATACTCCTGTTTCCTCTCTGTTTTGTTTCCCTTATCCATCATGGCACCCCCCTTATAATGGCACGTCCTTGTGTTTGCAGCACGACTTGGATAGATCCTTCCAAGGACCTGAGTGCAGCTGGTAGGGTGTGCTTGAAGATCCGAGGATATGCAAAAATGATAACAGGAATCGAGGATTTTGAGAGGCTTGCCACTTCAGAGCTCCAGCTGGTGAAATACGAAGAGGGTCAAGAGTACAAAGCTCACTACGATGGCCGCATGCTACCAGATGGCACGCTTGAATCTCGTGGGACTTTTCTTGTGTACCTGAATGATGGATTTGAGGGCGGGGAGACATACTTCCCAAATGTAGGCATCAAGGTATGTACTAGGACCATGGGAGTGTGAGGATGAAGGGGAGAAGGGAAGGAGAGGGGGGTGGAAAGCAAGTGAATGGGGAGGGTTGTAACTGGTAAAAGGGACAATGGGAGGGAGAAGAGGGGATTAGGTTGAGGGATGGGAAGGTGGATGAGGAGGATGATTGAGGATCGGCGTTTAAAATCCTTAGTTCTAACGAGCCACCATGCATTTTGATTTACAGGTCAAGCCAGAGAGGGGGAAAGCTATTTTGTGGTACACCCATTTGACAAGTGAAGGCATTGAAGACTCAAGGTCCAAGCATGCTGGTTTACCAGTCAAGGAGGGGGAGAAGTACCTGTGCACACAGTGGTTCAGTCTCCCTGCTTAAGTAGTAGTTTAGAATGTTAGAAAAAAAACGGTACGCTACAACAGGAAGTACCTATGCATGCACACGATGGTTCAGTCTCCCTGCTTAGGTACCGTAAGAGCCTCGTGAAGCAGTCTACTCATTGTAGCTTTACTTACTGTCTTGAAGAGCTGCCAATTGTAATTTTCATGAGTAGAAGGCAGCAGTCCAGGCCATCAGAGCAAGACTGTCTAGTTCAGAGCAAGTCCGTCCAGAAATTGACTGGTGGTGGCATACAAAACACATCACTGTTGCATTGTCAAATGTGCTTGTCATACACAGCTTGAATACCTTCGCAAGCTAGTGAACCCCTTGCTCGCAGGAAACGACCTGCCTGTCAAACATGTGTATTTGTCATGTTTGTATAGACTGTATAGAGTCACCTCTTAGAGGATACAAAACTTAGATATATTTGTGTGTACTCTCACTTTACTATTATTCAATTATTCTGATATGGTATCACGCGTAGGTAGGATCCCCCCCCCCCCACCTACCGCTTCCGCTCATGCCCCCTAGCGCCCCTCCTGGGCCCCGTCGCGCTCCTCCCAGGCCCCCTAGCGCCCCACCTGGGCCCCGTCGCGCTCCTCCCAGGCCCCGTAGCGCCCCTCCTGGGCCTCGTCGCGCCCCTCCTGGGCTTCGTAGCCCCCCTGCCAGGCCCCGTCGCGCCCCTCCCAGGCCCCGTCGCGCTCCTCCCAGGCCCACTAGCGCCCCTCCTGGGCCCCGTCGCGCTCCTCCCAGGTCCCGTAGCGCCCCGTCGCGCCCCTCCTGGGCCCCGTAGCGCCCCTCCTGGGCCTCGTCGCGCCCCTCCTGGGCTTCGTAGCGCCCCTCCTGGGCCCTGTACCGCCCTCCCAGGCCCCGTCGCGCCCCTCCCAGGCCCCGTCGCGCCCCTCCCAGGCCCTCTAGCGCCCCTCCTGGGCCCCGTCGCGCTCCTCCCAGGCCCCGTAGCGCCCCGTCGCGCCCCCCCTGGACCCCGTAGCGCCCCTCCTGGGCCTCGTCGCGCCCCTCCTGGGCTTCGTAGCGCCCCTCCTGGGCCCTGTAACGCCCTCCCAGGCCCCGTCGCGCCCCTCCCAGGCCCCGTCGCGCTCCTCCCAGGCCCCCTAGCGCCCCTACTGGGCCCCGTCGCGCTCCTCCCAGGCCTCGTAGCGCCCCTCCTGGGCTCTGTCGCGCCCCTCCTGGGCCCCGTCGCGCTCCTTCCAGGCCCCGTAGCGCCCCTCCTGGGCTCTGTCGCGCCCCTCCTGGGCTCCGTAGCGCCCCTCCTGGGCCCCGTCGCGCCCCTCCTGGGCCCCGTAACGCCCCTCCTGGGCCCCGTCGCGCCCTCCTTGGGCCCTGTAGCGCCCCTCCTGGGCCCCGTCGCGCCCCTCCCAGGCCCCGTAGCGCCCCTCCTGGGCCTCGTCGCGCCCCTCCTGGGCTTCGTAGCGCCTGTCCTGGGCCCCCCGTCGTGCCCCTCCTGGGCCCCGTAGCGCCCCTCCTGGGCCGCGTCGTACCCGTCGCCGCCGCCCGGCCCCGTCGTGCCCGCCCGGCGCCATCGCGCCCGCCCGACCCCGTCGCCGCCGCCCGGCCCCGTCGCGCCCGCCCGGCGCCGTCGCACCCTGCCCGGCCCCGTCGCGCTCGCCCGGCCCCGTCGCACCCTGCCTGGTCCCGTCGCAGCCGCCCAGCCCCGTCGCACCCGCCCGGCCCCGTCGCACCCTGCCCGGCCCCGTCGCAGCCGCCCGGCCCCGTCGCACCAGCCCGGCCACCGTCCCGCTCGCCCGGCCCCGTCGCACCGGCCCGGCCCTGCCGCACTCGCCCGGCCCCGTCGCCCCAGCCCGGCCCCGTCGCGCCCGCTCGGCCCCGTCGCCCCGTCCCGGCCCTGTCGCACCAGCCCGGCCCCGTCGCGCCCGCCTGGCCCCGTAGGGCCAGCCCCGGCCCCGTCCTCCTCACTGGTACGGTTCCCCCCCCCCCCCCACCCCGCCCTGCTCCGTGCCGCCCTGCACCGCACTGCACCGCACTGTACCGCACTGCACCGCACTGCACCGTACTGTACCGCACAGTACCGCACTGCACCGCACTGCACCGCACCCCACCTAGCTGCACCGCCCTGCACAGCACTGGACTGTTCCTGATGGCGGCGGAGCTTCGCTTCGACGCTGAAGGTCAGCCCCTAGAGTTCGAGGCGTGGCTTGCCGACCTCCGCCGCCAACTCACTGGCCAGCGGCAGGATGGTGAACCGCTTTCCGCACACCTTGACGGTACGCTCCCCTGCCCAGACCCTCCTGCTATTCTGCCCGCTGACCCCACACCCACTGAGCGTGAGTCTACTGCTGCCACTGCCCGTGTGCGCTCTGTCTGGCTTTCTCACGATGCTGTCGCCCAGCTTGCCATTAGCAACGCCCTCCCCCCGTCCGAGCGTCCTCGCTTTAGGTCCCTCACTACTGCTCAGGCATACTTAGATGCTGTCATCAAGCGCTATTCCACCCCTCCGGCTGCCTCGGTGGGTCGCCTGATCCTCCCGCTGCTCTTTCCTGACCTTGCTTCGTTCCCCACTGTCTCTGACCTCGCTGCCCACCTGCGCTCGATAGAGGAGACCTGGCGCGCCGCCTGCACTGACGCACAGCTTAGAGCCCACCAGCCGCCCATTACCTCTACCCTCTACCTGCTTGCCACCCGCCTCCCTGACCGCCTTGCTGTCGCCCGCAACCGCTTCCTTAGTGTTCACCCCGCAGACCTCACCCTCACTGACTTTGTCGACACCCTGACTGTGATAGAGACCCGTCACCGCTCCATTGCCCAGGCGAGCAGTGTCGTGCCGGTCCCTATCTTTCAGGGTTGTGCCCCCGCTCAGTGTACCTTCTCCGACGGCTCTGCCGCAGTGGCTGAGACTGCTGCTGCAGCGCAGGCCCGTTCTGGGAAGGGCCGCCGCCCCAAGGCTAGGCGCGGCGGAGGGGGCGGCGGGGGTGCGGGCGGGGGTAGTGGTGGGGTCGGGTCGCCTGGTGCTGGAGCGGACGAGGGGACCCTGCCCAGTCCAGCTGAGTCGCCGCCCCTGCAGTTGCAGCAGCCGCAGCAGCCGCCGCAGTCGCAGCCTTCGCAGCAGCCGTCGCAGACGCGGCAGACGAGTGTTCTCCCGCCAGGGTGGCCCGGCGCTGGCGGTGGACGGGCGCGTGGTGGTGTGCCGCGTGGTGGCTCTGCCGGCGGGCGTTGTCAGTACCAGATCCAGACCGGTCCTCGCCGCGGTTTCGTTTGCGGTAAGATCGGTCACTCCACTCCCCGCTGCTTTCGTCGCCTGGACGACCTCTTTCGTCAGCGTTTCGGCCCGTCGCCAGACCTCCCGGACTGGCACAGTTTGCTTAGTCGTCAGATTCAGATATTTGATATGGACATGGATGCCATTGTTTCTGCTCTGCATGTGATGTATGCTGATGACTCTAGTGTGCTTCCGACTTATTACTCACTGTTGCCTAGTGTAGGTGTGCCTAGCTTAGCCTCCCCTGCTGCGTCAGGCGTAGGATCCCCTGCTTTGTGTAGTCTTGGTGCTTCTGCCGTCGTTCCGTCGCCAGACCCCTCGGCTTCGCTTTCCTTCACCTTGGACTCTGGCGCCTCGCGGTGTTTCTTCCGCGACTCCACCACCCTGACGCCGCTTCCTGTTCCTGCTGCCGTTTCTCTTGCTGACCCCTCCGGCGGTCCGGTAGTCGCCCGCAGTTCCACCACCCTTCCCTGCCCGGCGGTTCCTTCGGGCTCTCTTACAGGTCTGCATATCCCCTCGTTCTCCAGGAACCTAGTTGGTGTCGGCTGCCTCCAGGACCTTGGCGTCACCACTACGTTCCCTGGTCACGAGCGGTATGCTGTCTGTACCGAGGCTGCCACTGGTGCCCCCCTGTCCACGTTCCCCCGGGACCCGGTGTCCGGCCTGTTCACTCTGGACACCGTGCCCCCCCCGGCTGGAGCGCCCCCTCAGGTGGCTGTGTCTACCCAGGTTGCTGCTGCCTGCTCCTGTCGCTCCCTCACTCACCCGACCCTCCTGTGGCACCACCGCCTAGGTCACCCTGCGCTCCCGCGTCTGCGTCACATGTCCCAGCACGGTCTTGTCCTTGGTCTCCCAGGTTCACTCCCCGCGTTTCCCTCCTCCCCAGCTCCACCTTGCACGCCTTGTGTCGAGGGTCGGCTTCGCCGTGCCCCTCACTCCTCCTCGTTCCCCCCTACCGCCGCGCCGCTGCAGACCCTGCACCTGGACGTCTGGGGCCCCGCCCCCGTCCCTGGGCCGCGTCGCGAGCGCTACTTCCTTGTGCTTGTCGACGACTTCACTCGTTACACCACAGTCTTTCCCCTGGAGCGCAAGGCCGACGTGCCTGGCGCCCTCATCCCCTGGCTTGTCTCTGCGCGTGTCCACCGCGGTCTCCCTGTCTTGCGTTTTCACTCAGACCGTGGTGGCGAGTTTGCCTCAGGTGTCCTTGGTCGCTTTTGTCGTGCGGAGGGCATCACCCAGACGTTCACCCTACCGGACTCCCCACAGCAGAATGGGGTCGCTGAGCGACGCATCGGCTTGGTCATGGAGGTCGCTCGCACCTCCATGGTCCATGCCGGTGCACCCCATTTTCTGTGGCCGTTCGCTGTGCGCTACGCTTCTCACCAGCTTAACCTGTGGCCGCACCCTCAGCAGCCGCAGGTTTCGCCGACCCGTCTGTGGACTGGGTCTCCTGGTGACGCGTCTGCGTTCCACGTCTGGGGCTGCCTTGCTCACGTCCGTGCCTCCGGCACGGACAAGCTCACTGCCCGCACCTTTCCCTGCGTCTTCCTCGGTTTTCCCCTTGACGCGTCCGACTGGCACTTTTACCACCCGCCGTCTCACCGCTTCTTTCACTCTCGTGACGTCACCTTTGACGAGTCCGTCTCCTACTACCGCCGCTTCCCCCACCGTGGTCCCCCGGTTACCCCCCCCCTGTTCCTGTTCACCCCTTCCCCGGTAGTCCCTGCCCCTCCTCCTCCTCCTCCCCGTCCCGCCCCCTCTGGTCTCTCCCACGTCACCCGCCTTCCGTCCGTAGACCCGATTGAGGAGTCTTCTGACTCTGGTGGCCCTCCGGTGCAGTCCTCGCCGGCCGCCCGTCCCCAGGTGTCCCCTCCCCAGTCCCCTCCTCCGCCGCCCCTGCCGCCACTGCAGCCGTCGCCGTCGCCGCCGCCGCCGCCGCCGCCGCCGTCGCAGCACCCGTTCGCTGACTCTGGGGGTGCTCGTCCCGGTCGCCCTGAGGGTGG